TGGAATGACAGGCTATCAAACATAGTAACAAATTAAAAGTTTAAATCAATGACAGATTACAAAACATGAAGAAATCTTGGACAAGGTGTATTAATGTGAAATCTGACATGTGGTCAAGTTGTTCATAGATGTGGCATTCAACAATTCATATCACTTTCGAAATGAAATACCTTTTTTCTTTAAATCATCATCATGTACATCGTGACATGCAGAAGCTACTCTCCAAACTATTGTTCTGTATTTGGAATTCTGGTGATAGTCAATAAATCATCAGAAATTAGAAAAATACATGTAATACTTATCAAGCTACTCGAAGTGCAGGAAAATAGTAGCAGAAGAAATCTCCCATAGTCACATCATTGGTCAATTATTCCTAAAAATTAACCATGGTTTCATCAATAAAATGTACAAAATAAAAAATATCGTCTGAGTTCTTATATATGCATCGATCATGTACCAGAAAAAATTTACATTAAAAAAAATGAAAAATTTAACCAGCTTCATCACCAAATTTAGGTTCCTGCACTAATAAGGTCATATATAATATCTATGTATTTTGTCCATCTTCTCCGGAGAATCCAGAAATAGCAACCAGAAAAGGAGTCACCAGGCTGATGAAACATTACATGGTTATATAACTCTCAACAAAGAAGCCTTGTCATCCTGGACATCATCGGTCTGATATCAATCTTCTAAGTTAGCCTGACTTCCAAGATAAAACAAATTTAGGCAAAAAAGGAATAATTACCTAGAGCTAAGTCCGTTGATGGATCGGAAAACCTATCATTTCAGTTTTAAATAAAATCTCATGCATCCAAAGAAACTACCTTAGACATGAGAATTCATAAGAAAAAATGCAGAAAGACGAGTTTTCCTATGGCGGCAATATTCATCTAGCAGACAAATAAGACAAAAAGTTCCTACCATTAAACAGGCTGCCATCGTTCTTGGAATTACAGATGAATATTGAAGTTGTTTGTTTTAATTGGGGTAATGATTGCACATAGTCATGGAAGTTTCACAATATCAACCAACACCATCAGTACAATCAGCATAACCTACACAGTTAAGTATAGATGCAGATTTTGGCTTTCATCCTTGCAAACCAAAGATGTTAATGATCATTTGTAAGTGTTTGCCTAGTAATGTCAAATTTCATGCAACAGATCATGTTTATTAAATAAAACTGATGGTGAGTGAAAAACCAGCATTGAATAGATTTCAGGGGAAGAACAAAAATACTGAAAGTTTCTTAAATCAGAAGATCTACATGTAGGCAAAATCAAATGTCACCTGAAATTCTCTTTACCTAGAAGACTGTGTTTATGAGTTCACATTGGTAAAAAGAGTTTCCAATGTTGACAATTTTAAGAGTCCATAAGCCCATGAAATCATAAATTAATTTCCACATGCTATGAAGTTTCTTTTCTTTCAAAAATGCAACCAAGCGCAGAAAATCTTAGAACAAAAAAGAAAGTACTGTTTGTTTTATATGTACCAGAGATTTCTTTCTTCCCCATATTACTGTAAGGACACCTGAATCCTAAAAGGTATGAAATAGGAACATTTAATTTGGCACAAACATGGAGAAAATTTTGGTCAAAACCTGAATGTTGAGTCTTGAGAAAAATATGTGGTTAAACCAAGACCATGAACAAAATAGATAAAATAGAAAGGACAGAAAATTTACTAAATTGTCAGCATAGCAAAAAATTAACAACTTTGAAGAGAACAAAGAACTAATAAACACTATAATTACTAGAAATATTGTCAGATCAAATTAGATGTCAAAAGAAAAAATCTGCATACTTTTTGTAAAGCGATGAGATTCATGAGAGATATCATTTTCGAGTAGTAAAAATAATCATTAAGATTCACAGGAACTAGCATAATATAATACACATGACAATTACTGCAAAATTCAAGCTGGATCGAATCATGTAATACCATTTAAACATGACGACCTTGTACTTCAGATGCTAAAACACGACCTAGGAATGAATGTGGAACACAACAATAAAGATATAGCTTTAAAAGTGGATTGGAGATTCAAAAAGATGTACATTTTTTGTTGTATTTGATGCCAACACTATCAAAATGATATCTGCATAATGACTCGCAAATAAATGCTCCTCTCAAATCTCACTTACTAGGAGGTCAGCAACTTGGAAATTAGTGTCAGACACTGAGGAAAAACTTAAAAAAGACCAGAACTCCAAGCTCATTGAGAGAAATCATGCTATAGAAAAAGAAGAAAGGGTTCATCTTCCAGAACCAACATAGTCCCTGGACCTATCAACTTTAAATAATAAAGAGTTTGTACAAGAGTACATAAACAGATTAAAATCATATCCGAATAGGCTTACGTAATGCTGATCAAGAAAGCTGCAACATCATCAGTTCGTTTGAGCATATTTAGGAAGGAAATACCACAAGTGTTTGCTATGAGAACGCTTATAACACATGGCAGAATATGTAAATCTGTCAACATATTTGAAGATGTTATATTGAAAACAAGATAATTGTCAATATCTAAGGATGTTCCATTTTCACCGTACGCTCCAAGCTAGATAATATGTCTATGCATGAGATTCTTGCAATGCAGACTTTGGAAAGAATCAATATGTGAAACCTTATACTATAAGAAGAGGAAGTTGTTTTCATTAATTGAACTCTGGGAAGATATAAAATTTTCTTTATCCATAAAAATTAAAATATTATTTGCATCCCTCAATAAAGGATGAAATTCAACATCATAGTAAGTCTGCCTCCCCACTTGTAAGGATAAGACATTAACCTTCCCTAGATGACTCTTGCACATCTGGCTTTTTCTGTAACCCTAAAAAGATAATAATCTGTGTTTCATTTGAATAAAGTTCAAGAATTTTGCCATTTCTTGCTTTTTCAATTATACAAAGTGCAAAACTTTTCCCATTTACACCCTTGAAATGATACGTGCAGCAAAATGTAGTTGTCTTGTGCACTGGGCTTGCCCTTTATCCCTCCGTTCGCAAAAAATTTCCCATTTACACCCCGAAAATACGGCACGATATAACTTTTACAGAGATGCATAGCATTTCAATTTTGTAGGAATCTATATTTATGAAGCAAAGAACATTTTTGCAGTTCAGCAAAAAATCAAAATTAGCTAGTACAAGAATCTTATATTTTATCGAAGAAACTTAGAACAAAGCGAGAATAGATTAAACTGAAATTCTTTGAACAAAAAGCTAATACAAAACTGAGTCGCGTTGTTTCTTTTTCCTAGATCCTATACCTACACACACATGGAAACCCATATCTTGGACTAAAACCAAAACATAAGGCACAGATAACTATGCCAACGTGAATCAGCGGCATATCATATGCAAAATGTAAGAAGAGAATGGGAAGGTAGTAGATGATAGAAGAAATGATATAATAGGATTAGTGGCATACCAACAGCTTTTATGGCAGACATGACACAGCACAAACACCCACTATCCCTAGGAATGCTTGAAAGATTAGATCTCACAAGACAAAAATATTTAATTAAAAACCAAGTGGTGCTTGGTTATGACTCAATAAACAGCAGAGAATGTCAGGATTGCAGAATAGGAAAATGGAAAAGAGAGAAAAGATCTAGCTGTGTTATACCTAGCAGATTTATTTAAAGAAATAGAATAGGGGTAAATTGGAAGTCCTAAAACCATAGAATAGGGGGCAAATGACACAGAATTGAACTGTCATCACAATTAAGAGCCACATGTCTTAAAGAGAACTTGAGAAGAAGCGACCAACTTGGCATACACATGGTATAGTTGGGAATTAGATTGCTCCTTCAGGATGGCAATTGCTGCATTTATCTGACCAACTTCCATGGTGCCAGTAAAGTAGTGTTCCCAAGGATGATCCTTGTTGCTCACCACACAATGCACAAGCATTGCGGCAAGTTCCTTTTTTGTTCTCTTTTTCCCTCTTCTTTTACCTTGGCATGCGGTGATATGAGGCTGCCCATAGTGGCCGAAGAACAGAGGTTGCAGCTTCCTTCCCCATCGATCCTCGTCACCTCAGTTTCGTACCGGCTTGTGTGGGACTTGAAATCGGATATATCGTCGCCCATGTCTGCACTGACGATGGTAGATCGCATAGCGTCGGTTGGATTCATGACCGTCCATGTCACAATTGCCTTAGAATGCTGTCTTTTTTTCTTCTGGGCACCAATAACATAGCTCTGACTGGCCCAGGCTTCTTTATAAAGGAAGCAAATTAAGGAATAAATGATGGATTAAAAGAAAAGAACAAGAACAAGAGAGTCAAAATTAAAAAGTCACAAAAAACGAGAGGATGATAACATTCATCATCCTAGGGAATTCTGAGACCTACAACAGAACACACCAAAATGAAGAAGGAAAATAGGGAATTTTAGCTGTAAAAAAGAAAATTAAAAAAAATTATGAAGATAGATCAGAACGGAATCAAAAGAAACGTAAATTGTTAGAACATCGACGAAGATCTCACCTGTCACCGACGGCTCAAGAAGGTGCTATGGTTGCGCTTTGTCCGTTCCTTTCATCATAGAAGAACAGGCTTCTGTTCTCGAATTCTTCTCGAGAATCTAAAGGAACACCAGAAATCCGCATTAGAAACCCCAGAATCAACAAGCCGGCCTCCCAAAATCCCACCTTTCGCCCCAAGTTCTTTGCTGCCCCTCAACAGACACGGAGGACGAGATCCGCCGCCAATACCATGCAATCTTTGCTTGATTCGATGGAGATCGATTTAATTACCCAATTTGACTTTTAAGTGCCATTTGAACAACTATTGCGACCTCCTGTTTAATTAAACATATTTTTAAAACATATTAAATAATTTAAAATTAATAAAATTCTAAAATATTAAATTAATTAAAAATAAATAATAATATCAACCAACACTATAAATATAAATATTGAGTTAATATATTTCTCATGTCAATCATAATTTCATGATTAACATAAATACCTCACTAAATAAATAATAAAAAAATTTAAATTAAAGATATATAAGTAACCTTTTGTATAAGCTGATGGATTCATACAATTCATTCTCGTTTTTCAACACATTAGATCCGAATTAAGTCAGATCGATTAACACTTGAGATGGCCAGTGGATCCATATCCTCATGCAATTTAACAGAGAGGATAAAGACCACATCGCTGATTACGCTCTTAGACTTTGTCCTCCACCCAAATTGAAATGAACTACAAATGATATAGACGTGATTAGAGATCGAAGTTGATCCTTCCAACATTAAACAAATGTACAAGGATTGGTATCCATCATTCGATTTACCCAGAGAACTGATGCGACGTCGATGCCCTTTGCACGAATCTTGAAAAATATTTTTCGAGTCACAAACCTTTGCACGACTCTTGGCGAATCTTTTTGAGTTACAATAGCACGATCACCGGTGGCACGAGGCAATGATGCAGACGGTAATTGATGTTGCCAGGGGAACAAACAGCTCCTGCCAATTACGTCAGAGTAAGCCTCATGAGACACGTGGCATCATCAGGCCATGTATGCACATATCGTGACCAAGTCAAGCATGCAACATGTGCCATCTAATGACGCTTATGAGTACGAATCAATGTTCAAGATGTATATGGTTAGCATGCATGAACATAGTCACATCGGATACACCATTATAGCCAAAAAAAACCATACACTGTTTATCTTCTCTGAGTAAACATATTTAAAATATTATTTAGGATATCAAATAATATTGATAGTATCGAAAAAAACATTGGTATAAACGCACTACAATACTGGCCCACTATCAAATTCCAAAAGGATTAAATTGATCGATTCCCTATTTAATTGACTTAAAAGAAGATCCAACTCAAATTATCTAATCAATTTAGACTCATTTGGGCACTAAATAGTTGTGTAGCTCATGATCCATACAAACTTGACTCGTTGTCACCCTAAATAGTTTTATCACTTATGTTCCATTCACATGAAAAAGTAGGATTAACCCCCCAATTTAATACCAAGATGTTGTTCGTGAGTTGTAACCATGCAAATATAAAGACCTCTAACTGATGACCATATCAGAATAATGTTGTAGAGAAGTACCTGGTTATTGTAGAGAAACAAAGGAATGGCACCGCGTAAAAGCTAGATGAGGTTAAGGAGACCAGTGTGGCCCTGTAACAACAGCATTAGTGGATCACTAAGAGGAACAGATTAGATGCCGACACTGTCTTTAGAAGGGAAACTACTCAGGAAAAAATCCATGTAGCTTATGCATACCAAGGATGAAACAGCTATACAACAGAAAACCAATGGTAGGGAACCAAGTATGCGCCTTCCCATGAGCAGTCCCTTACCTTCGTCCTCTCCAAATTCCTGCAGTTCAGAGCAAGTATATGACTGAAGTTCAAATGGGTTACTTGACCCTCTTTGCGTAGCATAAGATGTTCCAAAATATATAACTTTAATGTCAACTGATGATGGTAACTCAAAACAGGAAAAAAAAATCAAAATATCCTGCGTAAATATAGCTCTATGAAGAAGTTTCCTAAAAATGAATATTATGATCATCATTACTGACAGCCTGAGTTCTCAACATCAGAAGTTCTTCATGACACAAAGACCATTGAGTTGGTATATAACACACATCTAAAGTGGGTGATACTGCATGCTCAAATGCTTTCGACTTTTACTTAGGCTCACATCAACTAAAACAATATCTTCATCAAATAATATACACAACGGAAGTCTAGTCTATCATGTAAGTGACCAGTACATTCCTTCATTATAAATATAAAAAGATAAAGACTTAGTACGGATCCTTAGTGTAATCCTATGTTAATAATAAGCTCACTTGACACACTCTCTATAGTTGCAACACTAGTAGCTATATTATCATACGTATCTTTAATAACATCAATATAATTAGTGGATATACATTTCTTTTCTAAAACTCATTATAATAAATCTCTACGAACCCTATCATAGGCTTTCTATAAGTCAATAAAAACCATATGCAAAACTTTTTTTTCTTTTCCTATACTTTTTCATTAATTGTCTTAATAAATAAATAGCTTCTATGATCGATCTTCCAAGCATAAAACTAATTTGATTTTCAGAGATATTTCTTCAAGTCTTATCCTACTTTCAATAACTCTTTCCCATAGTTTCGTTCATGATTTTATTTTCTCTATAATTTGAACAATTTTGTATGTCACTCTTATTTTAATAAATTGACACTAAAAAAACTTTCTCTATTCATCAAACATCCTTTCAAATATCATGATTTTATTAAATAATCTAGTTAACTAAGTTACTCCCTTGTCTCCTAAACTTTTCTAAGCCTCGACAGGGATACTATCAGGCTTTACACTCTTAACTATTTTTATCTTCTTTAATGCATCTTTTACTTTATTGACTCTAATTTTATGAATAAATCTATGATTATTCAATTTACCACTATTATTTATCGTTAAATCTAAGTCTGTGTGGAATATTCATTAAATAATTTATAAAAATATTTTTTTATCTTTCTTTAATCTCGTTATCATTAACAAGTATTCTTTGATCTTCATCTTTAATACATCTAATAT